ATCAAAATCATATCCTGAAATAGATTTTTGTTTGATAATTTACTCCATAAAATAAAATTTCCAGTACAATGAGTAGCCCAATTTCTTTCCATTTCTATATGGTTATAATTAATTATATTTTTGGTTAGTTCTCTGATATATATAAGTTGATTACAAGAGAAGCAGATAGCAAGTCTTATTTCAGGTACATAGCTTTTATAATGTTCATTAACAGCAGACCAATATGTTATTAATTTTCTGACTTCAAAGTATCTTTTGTCAAGTAAGAGACTATTTTCTCTGAAATACTATAATCATGAATTTGTGGTATCTTACAATATTCATCCCATTCAGCAGGCACAATTTATTCCATGCCTTTCACTTAAGCTAACCATCTATCTTATATAACTTATTTGTGGTATTTATGGGGGTTATATCGAATTTTAAAGATTTAGACATATTATATTTGGTACACTATATATGATTAAAACCAGATTCATTTTTAGTACAGATGCTCGAAGAGCACTCCATAGGGCCAGGATTATTAGATAAGTTATGTATATTTGTCATGTTTTGCGGATGATATACAGTATATGATAAGAATGGGGGTGATTCATATGAATCTAAATATTCGCCTCTTTGGGACTGGGTTGTAGCAGAATTATAGATTGAAGGGTCATGATTAGGAGAATCGCCTAACGGCCTGCTTTGCAATAGCTTAGAGTTGATTCTAAAGAATTTATTTGTGGCGATATTTCGAGATATATTTTCTAAAAATTGTCACGCCGATTACTTTTGCCAAGAAAATAATAATAATGGCCAGCGATACAGAAGACAGCTCAGCATACAATAATTAAATTTAATCTCCTCGGTTCCTAGAACTATTGCATAGCGTTGATTAATTTCACCTTGGAGAGTTTCGATAGAAGCATTGATTGTTGTGAATTCGAACACAATTCTACTAAGATTATTATGACGAGTTTCTTCGATTGAATTGAGTCTCTCGGTTATATTATCGAAATATATCAAGAAAAGGTTAGGCTCGTATTTGAAACACTTGCACCGGTGACACGAAAAAATATATAATTTTGTTGAATAATATTATGCTGTAACCACCTCTTCCCGTGACTGCCTTCGCAATAGACTTCCTATTATCAATCAAACCTGTTAAACTGATCTATGACCGAAAAATTGTGTAATTTGTCATATGTTATATAAAATACCAATCTTTTTTTATATTCAACATTTTTGGATTGGTTTATACCCGCAGTTCAATAACATATATTACGAATACGAATCGAAATGTCGATTCATTCAAACGGTCGTTGGCTAAGGTCATTATTTATATTTTATTAAAAAATTGGTTTCATCCTTTGTTTTTAACTCTGGATTTTTGCATATTCAGAAATATGGCCGAAATAGTATTATCCTGCTTTGTTGTAGGTCCCGGGTGTGCTTTATCAGTTGATATTTGCGAAAGAAATAAAATTTCCGATAGTCATGACGACGTTTCTATTAACAATCTCACCGTCAATCATCTCAAGAAGCTGATATGGAATGATATAAGGGAATGGCGTGATATGGAAAATGTCAAGGATTACAATGAACTAGTACTTTGGAAAGTTGAAGTTCCCCAGGAAAAACTTAATAATTCTCTTACCAAAATTGAAATTGAACAGCTCGGAGGTAGGGAAATGAGCAATATTAGTAAGTTTAGGAAGTTTTTTCCAGAAGGATACGCACCTCCGGATGAAATCATTCATATAATCGTACGTCCTGTCACCATTAGTAAGTGTCCCCTAATGGTTTACCTTTTGAACAAGGGAATTTGGTGATGTTAACTAATTTTTTTCTCCTGGTCTTTTTATCACTTTCATACAATAACAACTCAACAGATGCGTCTAAAAACAAGAAAGGAATATCAAGGCTGGGTATAAAGCTATAATATTTTGACTTTCGTATCATTGTGCATTTTATTCATTTTGTTATCACATTTTGCATTGGATAGGAGGTCTTGGAGGAACGACTTATCAGGGAGAAGAACATGGTGATGCCTACGAAGGTGTTGATATTACTCTTGATACCGTATGTAAGAGAGAACCAACTATCCACAAACTACTTAAATGTCTACTTGAGAGACGTATTATTCTAGTTCGATCACCACCAATGGCTGGCAAAACAGCACTTGCGCAACTACTTGAGCATAGCCTGCTCCAATCAGACGAAGTAAAAAAAGGATTGAAACGTGTTTTTCGCATTTCATTGTTATGGATGGAAAGAAGGAATGAATCATGGACATTTGAAGAAAGATTTAAAGGGCTTATGAATGTGACCTGGGATGAATTTCTCGATAAATGTGGTGTTACTACAACATTTTTAATAATTGATGAGGTGCAAAAGATTTATAAGCCAGAAAATGAAGCCGAATCTCGTCATGGTGGAAATGTATTTTGGGATTCGTTTAAATATATACTACAATCTTCGAGGCTTTATATTGTAGCATTTGCTTCATATGGGCATTATGGTGCTTACATTGCTCGTGGAGATCATGCAATTATGGATATTTCACCATGCTCTCTTCAAAAAAGTAACACGTGGGGATTTGAAGACGTTTGTTTTACCAGAGAAGAATTTAATAGTTACTTTAATTACTTCTGTAAGAAAAATCTTCAAATGTTGAAAAAAGAAGACATTCCGCTTCTTTCTTGTTATGTTTCTGAAATAACAGCTTTCCATCCCGGTTTAGTTGCTTTTACCATGAACCAAATTCATATGAGATTTGTCAAACACACTTTTGAGCATTTGACGTTTGCAAAAGTTTTTGCTTATCTCAAATCTCGTGATTTTAATGATCATTTTAAGGTAAATATATATTTTTGTAATAATTCATATGACTGATATTTACTGAAAATTTTTATATGGTGTGCTTCTAGGATATTCGTGCAATGCCAAAAATTACAGATATGTTAGATGAAGAAAAGAGAATTGCCGATACTGTACTCTTCAAGAAAGGAGGTCTTGAAATTCTAACCAATGAAATTCCGCTTAAGAGTCGAATCTTTAAGACAAATATTCTTGTTGATACTGGAATGACAAAAGCAGGCTATTCAACCATTAACTTTCCAGCACCATTGCTTCGAGCAACATATCTTCAAAATCGGTTTGGTTCAGGGACACGGTCTAAATCACCACCTAATTCATTCAAGGATTTCATCATTTCGGTGTTCGCAAAAATGAGCTCTAAGGTGTTACAAAAAAGCTTGGGAGTAGGAAATGATTGTTGTCTTCTTGAACGCGTATGGCAAATGGAGTTCTATCGTGCATCAATGCAAGTTCTTCCTGTGGATATTTATGCTTCTGTAGATGTTGGAGCAGTATTTGGATCAGTGGGCTACTTGGATTTTTATATAAATGATCAGCGTAACTGGGCCATTGAACTATTGCGAGATGGAGACAAATTGCAAAAACATCAACAAAGATTTCAAAAAGATGGTCGATATGCCTCTATTCTTAAATATACAAAGGAGTGGGCAATTATTGATATTCGGAATAGTAAGAAAGGACCTCCAGAAAAAAAGGAAAAAGATGTTATTTATGCTCTTTGTGCTGAAAACTTTGAATCTGTTCAGTTGATGTATCCTGATGGAAGTAACGGTCGTGTTCAATTGCTAGGTGAAGAAGAAAATTTACTTGGGTATGATATATTGGAATTTTTAGATGATCCTACCTAGGGATTCATCTTTATGGTTGCTGGATCTTGTATATTAATATAAGAAGCAAGATTATGTTGAATGTTAAATCAAAAGCCCGATGTGGGCGAAAATCTTTATTGTTGGTTACGATAAACTAAAAAGACAAATATAATAAATGAATGGAGTAGCGGACTTTTAAAGGGAGGAAGCATCTCGAGCCCTAACCCATATAATGAGAGTTCCTTCCCGCTACTCAGATATGTAAATCCAAGCGCCTATTTTTTCTAAATTTTCACAGCATCTATTTTTAAGTTTCGACAATTATGCAAATCATCCACAGACTAAGAATGAATGGATCGCTTAGTGGATTATCGCATTGACCCACAAATGATTATGAAGTTTAGCGGAGCTAGTACAAGGTGTTAGAAATAAGGTTGGTATTTTTATGAGCTTATGTCCGAAATGTTTATTCTTAGTGAAGTTCATCATTATAAAATTAAAACGTATTTCTAGCCTTTATGTGATAAAAATTAGATTGCACGAATAATATGTGCTGGAATCATTATTAATATGCGCGGATTGAATAACGAT